CTTAAACAGTGCTGTTGTACTTGTAACAGCGCTGTCGAACGCTGTTCAAGCCTGTTGATTCAACCGAGACCTGAAGAGCACGGTTACAACAGCACTGTTTAAGCATGTTCGTTCAATAGGCCTGTTCACTGCTGGAATATTGCGCGTGTAGTCATTAGACGATATCAAAAATAATTCGATTTAAGGAAATGTTGGCAATATAATATTAATAAGTCACTATATAGCTCATTTTTATTTTATTACCGCCGTTTTCATTACACTGCCACCCCTGCGCTCAAAAGTCTCAGATCAAAGCTCGTTCTCGTGGGCAGTTTTTAAATAAAACAACTCGTCAGTGAAATTCTAAATTATGAGCTTTTGGCATTTTCTGTATATCAATTGGCAAATTTTACGTTTAACTGACAAAAAATCTGCTATTCTCGGCCTGTATGGCTAAATTGTTGATTGACGTCCACGCGAACAAGAAAAAAGCGTGATATTTTTAGGCTCTGGGGTCGCAGTGTAATGAAAACGGCTGTAACACAATCTGCCAGAAAGGCTCTAGACAAGAAAGCATCTATGAAAAATACATTCCAAAACACGAACATATTGCAATTAGTAACGCGTGCGTGTTACGCTGAATCGTTCCATTTCCGTCACAGTGAGTTCCATCCATTTTAAAATTGTTCTAGGCAAATGGCAGCATGGTCAGAATAGTAAGGGTAATATAGATGAGCTTCAGCTACTTGTGTCATGCCTGGACATTTCAGGACATAAACATGATCTAAGAGTCCGCCTTCGACGTGTGTCGGAGATTTGACGAGTTGTTGGAAACCATTACAGCATATCCATGTGGTAATGGGATGCCTTGCACTCAAATAATCAATGTTGAAATCTCCAACAATACAACAGGGCCTTTCATCATCGATAAGACTCCTTAAATTGTCTATGAAGGAAGACGTGTTTGCACCTTGCGACCGGTAGATATTAATGATATTTAATCCATTGCTAGATAATTTAGCCATTTGAAACGTTTCTTCATTGACTTCTCCAGTTAATATAAATTCCTTTCGGTAGTAAAAGGCAACACCCTTACCATTTCCTTGGTTAACTAAGTGAAGTCTATAACCGTTTAACTCGAACTTGCTATTATCAAATCTGTTAGAACACCATGTCTCCTGTAATGCAATTACTTTGCTACATGTAATTTTGAAATCGTTTGACAATTCGTTGTAGTGTTTAGAAAGGGAACGTATATTAAGACTTACTACCACAGTATTGCTATAGCCTCTTCTCTTCCGTTTATTGAGGTAATTTCCATTCTTTTCAACTCTTTAACTGCTTTTTCTGAAGGGTAAATCTTACGTTTGGGTAATTGTTCAACGATAAAAAGTTGACTAGCAGATTGCACACGGCTGAGCATAACATATGCCTGAGCGGGTTCCCGTATTGACCGTAAATCTAGCACCAAAGAATTTGGTTTTACCACCGTAGATCCCTGCATTTTATGAGCTGTACAAGCAAAAGACAATTTTAAAGGAAATTGTGTTGCCGTCATCATGTCATTATGAGATGTCGGATTCTTGGACATTCCAAATCGAAATTCTATCTTTTCTATGGGGGTGACTGGAATACCTGGAAATCTTTGTTGAAGTGTACTATAGTTCTTACGTTTATTATAACCAACCTTGCTATTAATGAAGTGTACCAGGACAGCCTTAATTTCACCCGAACACGTGTAATTGAATCCAACTACAGTTCCTATTGCACCATTGGTGAGTGAGTCGATCACATCCACATTATATGTAAGCATCACTTTTGCAGAAACTTTTAATTTTAAAACATTTTGAAGTGGTGTGTTCCATATAGAACCGTCGTTTTGTAATTTGGGCTGTATGTGTTTTTCGGCTCCACGTGTTACATTTGCTTCAATTACATACTCATCTCCATCCAAGTTTTTAAGTTTTTCCTCGTTGAATTTGTTAACCTCATATTCTTGCAGGTAATGTATAACGCATTGCGTGGTATTTCATGATGATCTTTCGCCCTAACTCTTTCTTCCAAAACTTTGTTATCCTCTTCTGTTTGATTCCCCGTCCTTATCCTATTTAATATTTCCGCGTACTTGTGATCCTCTCCTTGCCTATGATTTTTAATTAGTAAAATAACTTCAAATTTTTGCCATAGTGGGTCTATGGTGTGTGAGAGATGATAATCTTGGCATTGTGGTTGCTCAAAAATGTATCTTCCCATAACGGGTTTAAGTTGCAGTATGTCACCAAACAGAAACACGGAACACCAACCAAATGGTTTATCCATTACTTCTTTTAATTCCCTTAGCCGCAGGTCCAGTTGGTACAACATATCAGCTTTTAACATGCTTAGTTCATCAAGGATTACCATTTTTAGTTTTGATAGCATTTCTCTTTTCTTATCTCTAGTTTTATCGGCGAGCGACAAAAATGCATTACCAAAGTTAAAATTAAAAGCACTATGTAGTGTCATACCATCGATATTTGCAGCTGCTGTTCCAGTAAATGACACCTTCAGAACATATGGCATTTCAGGATTATCGCCAGATTGCCGGAGCATCTTTTCAATCCATTGAGCAAGTACATTGATTACTGTACTTTTTCCACTGCCTGCACCACCCTGTATTATTAGTAATGGTGGGAGGGTTGCGATGGGAGTTTTTCTTGCAATCATTATCCGCCTCGCAAAGTTTATCCCTTTTTCCACGACAATCCTTTGCTCTTTGTCTAATTGATGTGTGAGTTCATTTAATTCTTCTTCGTTATTCAATGTTACTTTTTTAAACAGTCCAGTACTAGTTAATGTAGTATCGTTATCACTAACATGATCAGGATGTTTTGAAATGTATTCAGGGTTATCGATTAACTCTTCTTCTTCATATTCCAATCTATCTTGTTCGTTTTGGGGATCAAGTTCTTCGCCAACATCATTTCTCGTAACACTTCGAGCACTTTCAATTCCTTCTTCTACATTTTCTAGAAATGGCATAATGATCTTTTTTACTTTACCTATTCCACTTGACGTAAAAGTCTCTTGACATACACGAAGGTCATCCCGCTCTTTTTCTAAACTATATTCAATACCATCTTTCTCATTGTTCGTATGTGGGTAATAGAGTTGTAATTCCGAAAAGTAATATTCATGTGGATTTTTGTCCTTCTTGAATTTGTGAAAACGTAAAACAACCTCATTTCTGAGTTGCATATAACACGATTCCCCTACCCTAGTCTCCTTTAAATGGATATACGGTGGCAGCTTGTACACTTTATCTTCACTCTCATAGTGTTTAGTGATAATATCATTCTTGAAATATGGGCGTCCATTCGAATCTTGGCTTTTATCCACTTTACTCTGAGAAAAATTACATGATTTTGGAATTCTTGAAGCACTTTTATATGTCTTAAGAAACTGTGCATAACAAAGGTCTTTAATTTCAGGTTGCAGTTCACAGTCCCGTCTTAAATATTTGTCATACATTGAAGGTTTTTCTTGGTATGTTCCTTCTCTTCCTTCAACGGTGATAGAATTTTCACATTGTTCAGCTAGATCATCATCTACTTTTTGTAAAAAGCGGCTGGGATTGAAACCCGTTGGAGCAAAAACGGCTTGTATATTGGACTCTTTCAAATGCATTGCAGGAAGAATCCTGTAATATGCTTCACTTTCTCCCATTTGACGATGTGTCAAAAATACTGATGCAACTTTTTTTAATTTTGTGCGTTGGTCCTCATTAGCGCAATCTCTTAAGGCTTCATGCAAAAACTGCATTGTACCACTGTCGTCTTTAGAGTAATAATCGCTAATATATGTGATGACAGCAAAGAAGTCAAGACATAGCTGGAAATCTATATTTCCATTCCACGCAGCGATCCATTCAGGATTATATGTGTTTACCATAGTTTCATTTACATCTCTCTTATACACGACAGAATAACCTTTATTGTTAACGGACAAAGCATTCTCGTATTCCTGTAGTATGGGCGAAACATCATCGTAGTTTTCAATATCAACGTCAACAAAACTTAGCATATATTCAACCCTTTCTTTTATTAAACAATCTATTTTGTCACGTCTGTCTTCCATGGAGTTAAGTCTGCTTCGCAGATCTTTAAGAGAAACGTTGCCGTTTTCATCAGTAATATCTAACAAAAGTTCAGATATGTCTTGCGGTACATCACCAATTGAAAGTTTTTCAAACTCTAAATAATCAGCAAGCTGGTTTATTTTCCATTTTGCTTCCCACTCTTTCTCTAAACGATCCATTTCGTATTTCTTATGCTCACACACTTTTCCCATAATTTCATGGTCCTCTAATACCTCTCTAACACCTTCGAGAAATTTTCGATGTCTCCCCATTTTCTTTTCTCTCTCTTTTGTATCTCTGTAAACCATTTTGGATGGACAGCTTATTATGGTCTTATGGATCGGGAACTTTGGAAACTTGAATCTGCAATGTCCTCCATATTTTTGACAGGCTCGTTTAGTGTGGTGGTGAACATTGACTTCTTTTACAGTACCTTTTGTGCCAGGATGTTTTAAAGAGCATGAAATAAAAAGATCTGCGAATACTGAAAGGCATTCTTTTTCATATGAAGATATTTGTTGTTCTATTTTGATGAGATTCAATGCATGCGTTATGCTATCTACACTTCTTCGTGGCAACACTTTAAAATTTTCCCAATCCATCCATAGAGTTCCGTGTGCATGGGGTGCTCCTCTCAATTGAAACTCAATCCGATAATTGTAATAGCTTATTGTTAAGGGACTCCCTTTATTCATTATAATGTGCTTAATAAACATCTTTAATCTGTGCTGGAAATTTAGTGTGGCATTGAGTAAATTGTTTTTTATTAATTCGTGCTTATGGGGGCAAGCTTCCAAAAACTGACTAAGCGGCTGTGAATCAACAAATATTTCGTCATTTCCATATTTATTTGTGTACGTAATGTCGTGACCAGCTAGCAAAGAAGTAAAATTTTCAGGCCATCTCATATCTGCACATGATAAAGTAAAGAAAAATGTAAATGGACCGAGATTTTCAAGGCGAGCATATAGCTCATATCTTGCCTTCTGCCAGTAACGTGGGGTATTTTTTATATTATCCAAAACCATATAACCATCGTCTAATGAGTAAACACATTTTCCATCAGGTAAGTGTGTTTTTTTCCCTCGCTGAAACGACAGATTAATGTTTCTAGCAATCTGCTTGGATTCCACAAACGCGGCAGCAGCGAAAATATAAGCAGGATCTTTGGCACATCGTTCATCTTCATTCATGATCCTTTGCGTGAAATAATCCTGATCTCGGAGTTTCACAGGTCTTTCTTCATCTTTACCATTCTTACCATTAGGAAAATGACCAGGAAAAGACTTCTCTTCATAATGCTTTTCTTGAAATATGTTGGTTGGAACCTTATTCTCTCCTGGAGCTACTTCTACTGTGTTTATTACATTTCTTGTGTTATTCTCCACTCGTATTTCAGGTAGATTATCAGCGAAGCAAGTTGATCTGTTATAATTAAACTGGTTTCTTCGAATTGGATCTTTTTCGATGTATTCCTGTTCCTCGTTCGATTCTTCTTCGTCGTCAGTGTGTTTATTTTCTTCACTACATTCAGTTGTCGTGGACTGAACCACATCTCCTTGATCTTTCCCATCTCCAAAAAGCAAACAGTATCCCTCTGGATCTGTTTCCTGGCATCTTGTTTTGAATTCAACATCATCTGGAATGAATTGGTAAAACCTGTTGCCCATCGATTTCATAGTTTTGATTGCGCTGAAAATTTTTTTAACGTCCACGTACTGCTCCTTATGATGACTACGATATTCCAATTTTCTTTTTAATTGAACTACAACCAAGCCAGCTTCGTTAAGTGTCCGAGGAAGTTTATCTAGTGAGTTTAGAATGTCATCTTCAAAAGTAGGGACATTTATTGTTTTGTCGACCATTACATTCCATCTACTTTTAGGAAGCAATTTTATTTTTTGAAAAATTATGTTTCGTGCAATCAGCTGGTTCTCAAGTTCACTCAGCATCAGTTCAGGGTGATTGGTGATATCGACAAATTGTAAGTTGTTTTGATGTGACATCGGGGCCATTTTTCCTCTTACCAAATACCAGTGGCACGTTTGGCAAATATAATCTGCATCATCAGCGTACGCATTATTCGTGCCGCCTTTCTTAATTGCTTTGGACACTTTTCGCTTGGTTGTTTCACCAATCACACTACGAAGTACCCCTGGGAATTTATCTTCAAATGTTTGCTTCCAATTTTCTTCAAGAGGAAAAACTGAAATCCTATACAATTTGCGTTGACAACTTACACATACGTAAACTCGACCATCGCGTATTGAATCCTGAAAAACCTGTTTACGTGTAAACTGCATAGAGTCACCTTGCTTCAAGCGCCAGCTTTTCATCGCTGCAGCTCGTTTCAGATTAAATTTTGTAACATCAACAACTTTCGCAGTCTTCCGCCTTTCTTGTCTTTCAGTCGCTTCAGTTTGTTGGAAAGTTGCTAAATCCAAATCCCTTTTTCTATTCCGTTCTTTTCTCCTCTCTTCGGCTCTCTTTTTCTTAAATTGTTCCAAATCCTGTTCTTTTTCCACATCCCGTTCTTTTCTCTTCTCTTCGGCTCTCTTTTTCTTAAATTGTTCCAAATCCTGTTCTTTTTCCACATCCCGTTCTTTTCTCTTCTCTGCGGCTCTCTTTTTCTAAAATTGTTCCAAATCCTGTTCTTTTTCCACATTCCGTTCTTTTCTCATCATTTCGGCTCTCTTTTTCTTAAATTGCTCCAAATCCTGTTCTTTTTCCACATTCCGTTCTTTTCTTTTCTCTTCGGCTCTCTTTTTCTTAAATTGTTCCAAATTCTGTTCTTTTTCTACATCTCGTTCTTTTCTCTTCTCTTCGGCTCTCTTTTTCTTAAATTGTTCCAAATTCTGTTCTTTTTGCACATTCCGTTCTTTTCTCTTCTCTTCGGCTCTCTTTTTCTTAAATTGCTCCAAATCGATTTCTCTTTTATTGTTGCGCTCTGCTTGCTTTTCATCTGCTCTTTTCTTATTGAATTTAGCTTCATTTTGAAGTTTATCTTGTAAACGCTTGGCTTGTTTCCTCAGTCGATCTCTTTCCTTTTTTTCCTCAGCCAGATTCCGTTCTAACATGTCCATATCATAGAGCATCTTGCAACTCTCATTATTTTGTAAGTGACGCTTTAGCTGTTTAAAATCCTTACTGCATCCTTTACAAGTTACCAATTGTGTTTTTGCATGGGTTTGAATAGATGTTGGAACTGTTGGGTTGGGAGAAAAATATGAGGATGTAAATTGTGTTGACCTATTAGTACTGCCGTTTCCTCCTTGTCTTTTAAATAAAAATGTGTAATTATCGCTTGAAAATAGTTCCTCTTCTCTCACTTGTGTAGGGTATGCCGAATCATTGCATCTGTACCAGTGCTTCCCATATTTTAGCAACGCTGTATAGTGACCTGCATTCACAGTGCCACTGTGGTTCAAAATTCCAATCAAATTGTATGACACGTTTTGCACATTGATGATATGGCAACTGATAACCTTGGTGTACACCTTCAGCAGTTGTCCAGCCTCGATTTTAAATCGTTTAAGTTGAATCATGAGATATTGCGGACAGTGTATGATTTGAGTTTGATACTGATATGGTTTAAGTTCGCATTTCACTTCTGAATTATGGTTGGCACTATCACCATGGACGCAGCACACACTGCATCGTTTTCCTTCACTCGCATCAACTTGGTGGATGCCAAGATGTCTATGGAGCAAACCCGTTAAAAAAACGGATGAATGACCGTCTGGGATATCAAGTTGTAAAATATCCTGACGATCTGTGCAATTCCTAGGTCTGCAACCACAATTTATACAACATGTAGGTTTATTTTTTTTCCATACTGAACATGAACAGATTCTGGATGTCTAAAGTCAAACTTTGCAATAACATATTCATAAATTCCATACTGTCTTCTTGTTCACCCAAAATATAACGTTGGTTCCCGTACTGATTCCCGATTAGTTCTCTCAAATGTCCAGCACTCACAATTGAATTAGTGCCTTCAGCAGCCATAATCAACATCAATTCCATTTCAATTGACGATGGGTTACCAGATGCATTTAAAATAGTTTTAACTTCAGGAACAATTCTCAAAAGTTGAATAATAGAATTACAAAAGCATAAATTTCTTTCATGTCCCCATCCATTTCTAAGCAAAAGCGGAGGAATAGACATTTTCTCGTTTAACAACACCACATTTAGGCCATCAGAAAGATGATCAATAACCACACACCAGACAATTTTCTTCTAAATTTCTTGTTGTTTTGAAGGGAATGCATAATTAATGTTTTAAGTGATTGCCTTCTTTGAAACACATACCCTGTATGCTAAGTATTTTTTTTGTTTTAGTTAATTACTTTTCTTTTACCAGGAACCACCACACGGTGAGTAAAAAGGCTGATGTCTTTCATATTCAAATTTATCGCGAACTTAAAACTGACTAATAAAACGCTGTTGAATTCCATGCATACAAATTTGTACAGAGGCATCAGTTTTTTACTCACCCTATTCATGTATCTCGAGTGAATTTGAGATTAAAAAAGTGAAACAGCCTTCGGGACTCCTACACTGTGAAAATCAAGACTTAGGCAACTCGATTTCTATAGCAGCGCATTTACCACAGCATTTAATACAATATTAAATCAGCCAGGGCGAGAATGAGTTGATTACTCATAATCATATGCAGTCCCTGTACGATTAAAGTTTGGTTCTTGAAGCCTGGTTTCTACGGAGACAAAAGATGTCACTCATCAATGATCACCGACAATGGCATCGCCGACGATCGCCGACATATGAGAACCAGGCTTGATGGGTAGTCGGCACTATCTCTTTTCAATTCCGTACAACTCCTACACTCCCTAGCCGATCATTTGCAGAATTCAATTCAAATTCAACTTACAGGTAAGTCTCGTTAAATTTTCAAATTAACATGGAGACGCTATAGGGATTATACATAAGTAAACCCAGAGGCATATAAAATATTTTGTTCCTCGACGACTAGTAAAATTTATGAAAAAAGTCTTTTGTTTATACAATATGTCATTCAATGTGGCCGAAGAACGCCTTTTTACAAATTAATTATATTAAATGCAGTAGTTCACCGTCATCCATATAAAAATCCAAGACGTCGACAGTACAGCGTTGGTATTCATTCCTTATGCACCTATCGAGCTAAACTTTTTCACTACAAGAATAGAAGAATCAATAACTATAGACTATAGAGGTAAGTCATGCAATCATCAAGTGATGTGATCTAGGATTATATAGACATGTGACCCTGATTATAGCACCGTTTTAAAGAGCATAAATCTGTTTATGAATTTAGATGGAAAGTATCAAACGTCAACTAGAAAGAATGGAACACTTCGAACTACAAATTCTCGGTTGTCTTTACCAAATCGAGCACGAGAAACCCGCAGCTCTACGCAACCTTGAGCAGTTAGCTAAACGAATCAAGGCATGCAACCAATCACTAAAGGCAAAAGCGACGGTAGTGGAAAACGAAATTAAAGCACTCAAAAGGGACAATGTGAAGCTCACAAACCAAAACCAGGAAATGGGCGCATTCAGAAAGAAAAAGATCAACTGGATGCTATTCTAAACTCTTCGTTTACAGAAGATGACGACGCGGCATTAAAAGACATCATTGATAATAAATAAATAAACTACCGACTACTCGAATATCGTTTGTGAACAATGTTGTGTGGGCTATCATATTGTAAAAACAAGCAATTTTAAACAATTTTAATGCAGTGCCGAATTCAATTTGTATGCCGTCCGATCGACCGCGTCCGCATCGGCCCATCGGGTCGGTTGAGACCATTTTTCTCTAATATGTGCATAATTGTCATACCAACGCGTGTAACATGTTAGCACCTAAGCGCATGCGCGAGTGCACACGAGCACGCGTCATTAGTATTTACGTACTTGTTTATTCACTCTTCGATAATGGCAGAGCAAGAAATTACCATGATGACCGAAAAAGATAATCTATTACTTCAAGAACCATCCAACCGTGAAAATCCGGTCGGAGGTAAGCAGCCAATTAGCGGGAGTCTCGTTCAGGCTATCATGGCCGATCGAAGTCTTGTTACTACTTTGCCCTCAACGAACTTGTCGAATATTGTCCCACGGTTGAAATCCACCATAAGTGACTCTACAGGCAATTTATCGAGCTGTAAATCCCGGAGTATCTGATGGTCAAACGGGTATGTTAATCGATAAAGTAAGTCCCGGAGTATCTGACAATCAAACTGGTTCAAAAAGTGTAAAACGGTCAGTTGAAGAGCAGGTCAGTTGAAGAGCCAGTCAGTCCCGATAATGAGAGGTACATTAAAAGGCTGCGTGATTCAGACGTAGATAGAGGGCAGAAGAGCATGAAGTCGAAACAATTGTTCTTGACAATGAATTTGCCTCCCCCAACTCACCTTGGGAGGCCAGTGAGGAACTGAGTACATTTCTCGGAACCATTAATAAACGAACGAACAAATTTGAACATAACACGTTAGTCAAGTCATTTCCTCGACAAGATGTTGACGCTGTTTACACTTCTGCTATGGATGTGTTTTTAAAACCATTCGTTCAGGGCATTATAGCCCCTGATAAGCCGTTGAAAGATATACAGGACAACATTGGATATAGCTGGTCAACATTGGATATAGCTGGTCCTATTTGCACTATGTATGAGAATTTGTTGGCCATGTTGGATAACATTGGCAGTGATGGTATTGTCCAGCTCGAAAGGCCAAGTGTTGACTCCTTCGTATTGTGTGTCAAGCACGCCTTGATGCTTCTGGGCAACGCTTCTTCCGGGTGTAGCGTTAACCGCAGAGAGATGGTGTTAAAGAAGATAAACCCCCCTTAATGGCCTCCATGGCACAAGAGCATTTTCCTGAAGCAAAACGTCACATTTCAAGATTAAAAGCCCGATCAAAGATGGCCGAAACCATTGCAAAAGCATCTAAGGTGGCTACACCAGGAAGGGGAAAGCAATTTTTTCGTGGCGCGGGCCTTCCAAGGAGGACAGGCACCCCATGGAGGCCATCAATTCTCAACTTTCCATCCCCTTCGAGGCAGGGGGCTCCGGGGAAGAGGGTTCTCACGCTCCAGTCAGCATTTCACCCGGTTCCCAAATCAACAGAATTTCAGACCGAACAACCAGCAGCAATCGGTTGTTGCCCATCAAACCTCCCAGCAGGTATGTTTTTAGATTTTCTTCCTCATTTGACAATAGAAGTTCCTCCTACAGGACGACTAAAATATTTTCTGCATGGTTGGGAAAGGATTTCACAGGATCTGTCAACGTCACTCTTCTCTGAGCTAAAGTATGCCGAGAATGTCTTCGGAGCTTGTGTCAGCAAAGATGGGCAGCAAATTAGTTCAAGCGATTATTAAGAAGCAAGATAATATTAAAAGTTAGCATTAATTTCTTTGTTGATAAATTCTCTCGATCAACTGTTTTTGCGGATTATGATCAAGGCATGAATGAATTGGATGATGATCATAGGATTAAACTGGTCAAACATACGGCTGACAAGTATTTCATACTTCAGCTTTTCACATACAGGAAGCGACATTGTGAGACCTTCCTACAAGAAGGAAAACCAAGTGAGAGGCATCAGTTGACAGTTTAAAAATCAGTCACATAATTTAACTTACGCTAAATTAAATAAGGTTATAATTGTACTTATCTTGCGTTCCATTTGATTGCTTTGTTTTCAAAAGTATTGTGTTTACTACAGTGTTACTGTAAAAACTGTAAATATTCAAATATATTTGTATCCATTTTGCATCATCTTTTGCACTTTTTGGTCGGTTTGTACTCGTTCTTTCGCCGATTTTTGCATTGTCTCGACTTATCGTTTGCTTTGAAATAATTCTAGGTAACATTATGGCAAACACTTGCCAAAAACAAAGCAAAAAAAAAATTATATTTTCACTGCAACTCCTTTGCTTTGAACGTCAGGATAGGTGCCAAAGCAATCTAGCATGCGCTCGTTTCCGGGGAGAGATGACCATTATTAGCTATGTTTGGCTTCAACTAATCAGACCCCGAAAATCTTGAGTTGTCGTTCCAGATGTATTAGAGTTCACTGATTCTGGTAAGTATAAATATTAATGAATATGTATAAGTTTTACAGTTGAATCTCATTTGAGATTTATATCAATTTAATATTTATAGTATAATATTAAAAAGGCACACTTGGAAAGGCTAATGGGAAACTAATGGGAAAAGGTTGAAATATACTTATGTTTACATAAAAATGGAATTATATACACTACAGTATATACCATTTATGGTTAATAACATAAAAACACCCTTAAAATTCTACAGGGTCTCTAACTAATAGTCTGTAACGTTAACTAAACATTCCAGACACGAAACTCAACACCAACAAAAAGTTGTAGCAAACCGAAGTGCAGTCATGCAGGGATGCTGGAACTGGAGAAGGGTAGTGGGGTAGCTGCCCCTTTTGCCTTTTACCAAGGACAGCAACGGTGCCCTTTCAATTTAAGTGATTGCATTGTGAAGTAGCAAATTTTCATCAATTTTAGCACAATTCTTTTACAATCTTGCTTTGGAAAACGCAGTCACTATCATTCAAAAAAGAAAAGACAATATTAGGTGAAGCTCAATTCCCGGTGTTTTGCAATCATCTCTTAGTATGTATCAATTGAAAGAGCCCCTCCACGAAAATGTCTCACATTGTTCCGCCATTTCTGTGCATCATTTTTGTTGCCCTGCTAAAACTACTCATCTTGCACTTGCAGCAATATCTCTCATTTGCAACAAACATTTTATCAACAGGGCAACAGTTCTTAACTCAATTTTAACTACCAATTAAAAGGTGTCTATCCTTATACCAAACCAAAGTATGAATTTGCAAAAGCGTGATCATACAAATTGAAAAGAAACTCCTTTGATGGCAAAGGTCGTTGAAAAGATGGTCTAGGAATCTTCAAGCAATTGATACAGGTATTTGCTGTGGGAATATAACTGTTTGGAACTTCCACAAACTTTATTGAGGGCTGCAAAGCAAACCCTAATACGGGCTCTTCATCCGTTCCAGTCGAAAAGCCCAACACATGACCCAACGTTATATTGCCTCTGCGTCCACCTAAGGGGAAAAATGCCTATAAATGCTATTCAGGAAGAATGGAATGACTTTTTAGGCAGGATAGACTTACTTGCAGCTTCTCTCAGGTATTGCAAAAAAGGTGAATAAACTTCCCCTTCAAATCTCCTCGCATTTGAACCATCCTCACTGAACTGTGGTTTGAACAAAGTGGTAAATCTTTTGAATGTTAATGTCTCATAACCTCGATGGAAAAGATCAAGAAATACCGGCAGTTCTTGACAAATCTTTAAATAGAAAGAATTAATCGTCTGAGTGTACGGTCTCAGAAATGCAATATTCTCTCTGCAGAAAAATTTTAAACGAAAACACAATGCTTCAATACAAGAGTAAATCAACAGACCTGGTATATTCCTACGTCTTTGAATCCCTCTCTTAACTTGAGAAAGCAAGGGGATGTTGTTACATGAGAACTATCAAAAACCTGTTTAATGACATCATCACTGATAAATTGTGCAATCTTTCCGTTCTGCAGTATACTTAGCCCTTAAAAAAAATAGAAACCCTTAGCTTCCGTGACTTAGGAGTTTTCCACATGGTTCCCACTTACTGCTAGTACTTTTATTAAAAACATTTAGATTTTGTTCACATGAACAAACAAGAGGTCCCATTCTTAGAGTAGGCAGGATCTAATATTTTCCACTTGACGTTGCATGAAATATAACATTAAAAAAACGAGTGTTCACTAAAGAAATGCGCATGATTTGCATAGGGCCACACTACGTCTTTAAATTAGCAAGCTGGATAAAAACCACATGTGAACAAATTGAAATTTTTGTCACCCTGTGTGAGACCTCTCAGTAACGGAAATCATATGAACATGTCCTTAATAAAATTCATGTGATTCAATGTGAAAATAAGTTCATATCATTTTTGATTTACCATACAGAGCAATGCTGCACGGTCGAATTCTTTCCCCTTTCTATATTAACTGAGCCGTGGAGTAGGCGAGGGCCTTGTACAAGCGGAAAAGAACGAGACCTGCAGTATCCTCCTGTACGGACAGAACAAGCTCGATATAAAGTTAGTTACAAAATAGAAATATATTATTTTGTAGGTGTTAGGTACACCACATGTATCGCCAAAAACTTACGTGGTCTACCTACAAACTAATATATTTTATTATTGTTGTTCACTATGTAATCGTACAAGAATATTATTAAAGGATTACATTACATTACAATGCAATGCAATACATTAATACATTCTTATGTTAGGTATACTTATAAATGGTTATGGGGGTCAATTGTATTGTTCAGTGAGAAGAACTGAATAAAATATGCTTCCGGGGTTGATATGATAACTGCCTAAAAATATGAGAACTTTGACATTCCGAGCGAAGATCCTTTATCTGGATGTTACAATGCAAAATATCAACATGAACAAAATATGCTCACCTAATATCAAACCAACTTTATAGTAATCATTGCCTAGAACATCATTGAAACCTGGGTCAAAGTATTTTTCTTTTATTTCACGTAACACTAACATAAAGAATTCTCTGCGAGGTCCACCATAGTCCAATGCAGACTATAAAACATAAACATACACTACACCAGTAAATTTATATAATTCCTTCACATTCCATTGCACAATAGGGCCTAGCTAAAATCATTTATAGTTAATTTATGTAACTTGAGTGATGGCCTGAATATATCTATACTACAGGGTGGACGACTATAACTGTACTTCTTAATATCAAAGTCAATGTACATGTATATGGACATGCTGTATGGATTACTAATTTTAATTACATAAAACATACCTCATAAAACTGAACCTCCAATGTATAGAGATTGTTTTGCAAATCTCCAATTTCTTCAAACGTAGTCTTTAATAAATTTTGTCGATCCACCATAATAAAGTTTGTGATTCCTTCAGGGCAGTCGTCTGGACTTGTTATCTCTAAAGCTCTTCCAACAACCAGACCAGCCTGTAACCTACGCAGTATTTCAATTGCGTTTTCACTAATTCCATCCTCTCTACATTTATTGGAAATTTGTATAACCTTTTCATGAATTCCTCTTGGGGTAAATTGTGTTGTTTCGGTCATTAAGGTATGTTCTTCATCTACAATTTCGTAACATACTGGCTGATTAACCAAATCATTCAGCTGTTCAACATTAGTGTCTACTTCTAGAAGAGTCACATCCTCAACAGTGTCAAAGGCTGAATTTGTTTCTCCATAGCTTGTTGCTGTGGTAGTTGTTTCTCCATGACTTGTTGCAGTGGTAGTTGTTTCTCCATGACTTGTTGCAGTGGTAGTTGTTTCTCCACGACTTGTTGCAGTGGTAGTTGTTTCTCCATGTTCATGACTTGTCGAAGTGGTAGTAGTTTCTCCATGACTTGTTGCTGTATTTCTTTCCCCATGAATTGTTGTCATGGTTGCTGTTTCTGCAGGACTTGTACCGACTGCATTAATCCACAAATCTAAATTGTCCTCTTCATCATCGAGAATACCTTTGTTACACCACATGAAATGAGCACGGAGATCCGAAAGAAGAATATCTTGATCGCACATCTTACATTTTTCCTTCAAGGTTGTTTTACTTTTTTGCTGGCTTTTTGGTTTAGTTGATATTGATGTTTGTATTGGCCGAAGGTAAATTTTTGATTGACCTCCTCCAAAAACTGATTTCAGGCTTACTGCATCCCAAGCACAATCAATACGGTTGTCTGCAGTTTGATGTGCAAACCATCATCTCAAACACCCCACAGTCATTTAGCTGTGGAAATCCAACTGTTTGCCCATCCTTTACCTCATCAGATGTTAATTTATCACGGACCATTTGCTCATCGTCCTCTAAATCAAGTTTGATTTTTTTGCTCCCTAAGCCGGCTGTATGCAGAATCTGTTTCTCATTTGCATTTGGTACTTTGGCAGCTAGCCTATCTGCTAGACAAACAATATTCACTGTCCAAGGTCGCTTAGGTTGTTTAGTGGTCTTTTTTCTTCGACTGGTTGAGTTCCTTGACGTTTGTTGTCGTAGTCTACTACTCGATCCAGGCGCAAATAAAAGACTTCTCTCATTCTGAACTTGTGTAGCACTTATTGATCTTTCAACCTAGCAAGAAAATATACCTGTATTTATATGATGATAGTTACACTTGCACACTTTCTTATCTAACGGCAAACAACTTCAGTAGTATGATCTAAAATTTTAGGATTTTCAGTTAAAATTTCCTTATTGCATTGCTTCCTTCTCTTAATTTATGATAAATACGGTAAAAATGAGAGTCACCTAATATTAACTTGTGTTAGTTTGGCAAGTAAATTAGTCAGTTTGCCACATGCATGCGAGCTCTCTAAGTCTCAAAAGCTACAATTTTGACAGTTTGTCCTTGGTTAATGCCATCTCATTTGGCATTTGGGTTTGCAACATAGACAGATTTTTAGATTTCCGTTTGGGGGGGGGGAAATATCTGGGGGGTGCACTTCTTGCTTTGGCAGAGGCTTTGGTTAAAACCAGAAAGGTGAAGGGAAATTTTTTAATAAAATTGCGTTTTCTAGGCTGCCAAGATCGCATCTGAGACCAGCAAATTAGTAAAGTAATCAAAATAGCAACTAGAGTGTATTCTGTATTGCTTTGTGGTTGAAATGACATTTAATGAATCATGAAAATTAAGGTTCCAAGAACAATTGCAATAATAATTTTATTTTCAACAGTTTGTTTGAAATTAAACAATGACGAATCTTTTTGGCTGAGTAGAGCATTAATAATATATTAATTTATAGGAGGGGGGGGGGGCAATTCTGGGCTGCCTATGCATGTATTCAAAAATCTCTACATTGAAGTTAACAGGGGAAGGGTAGAATTTAATATGTGGGTAATTTCCACTTATATCGATGGTAAATTCACTTTGGGCTATATCCATTTAATACAATATCCATGGGGGTGCACCCCACGTACCATAGGAAAGCACGTTCAGTGGATGCGTTGTTAAATAGGATGACTTTTGATATATTAAAATAAAGTGTACTTACTCTCATTGCAGGTTGTGGCTGGCGAGACTTTTCTTCAGCTTCTTTACACAATTCTCGTAATGGTATGCGATCACCAATAGTTGCAATTCCAAGCCTTTGTAGTTCTGAATCACTAGAGGACAAAACAACCGACGGGTCCATTCTTTGTTCGCGAAATTTCTCAACTAAGGTTCCCATATTTAGGGAATTAAGTATCTGATCCATCGCCATATTTGCAAGTGTAATATATATAAGTATGTTTAGGAATAATTATCATGAATTATCTGAAATTTTCATAAATTACAAGCATAGGCCGCTGCCGTAGCATGAGCCGGCGAATGCACCTCGTAAAATGACAGAAGCACCTCGTAAAATGACAAAAGCACTTCGCAAAACGATGTATGCACCCCATAATTTGGCAAGTACACAGCAAAAGTTGAGAAGAAACCACTTCATAATAAAGCACCACGTTCATCGTAAAAAGCACTGCAGATAATGACAACTGCACCACGTATAATGATAACAACAATGCACATAATGATAACAGCACCGCATATGATGCTTATAGCACCTTGTATAATGTTCAAAGCACCGCGTATAATGTTCGAAGCACCGCGTATAATGTTCGAAGCACCACGTATAATGGTCCATGCACCGCGTATAATGTTCGAAGCACCGCATATAATGTTCGAAGCACCGCGTATGATGATCAATGCACCACATATAATGGTCAAAGCACCGCATCTAATGGTCGAAACACGTAATAGAACGAAATTTTACCACTTAAGACAGCTATGGCTTTCCATATTTGTGGCTTAGGAAAATACTGGCATCATCTGCAAAAAGTAAGCACTCTGCCAATTGCGAAGCATTAGGAAGGTCATTTATATAAAGTAGGAAAAATAAAGGACCTAATATTGAACCCTGGGGCACCCTGCATTTAATAACCCGTTCGGCAGAACGGGTCTCGTTAAACTGAACAAATTGTTTCCTATTAGAGAAATAGCTCTTGATCCATTGCAATGCAATACCACGGATACCATAGTGTTCCAATTTGGGGAACAAAATTTGATGATCAAGAGTATCAAATGCTTTTGAGAGATCTAGGAAGATACTGACTGTGATTTCACTTTGGTCAATAGATGTAGTGATTTTGTTCATAAGATAGACAAGTGAAGAAGCTGTGGAGTGGTTCTTTCGAAATCCATATTGGAGAGAATAAGGAATTTCAAACCGACTCACGAAATCGATAATTTGAGAATACATAACTTTTTCAAATATTTTCGAAAAATTTGATAATAGTGATATTGGTCTGTAATTTGTAAAATTTTCGGGATTATCAGTTTTAAATACAGGAATTACCTTAGCTATTTTTAGTAAATCAGGGTAAATGCCGCTAGAAAGCGATAGATTAATAATTTGGGTAAGAGGTTGAGCTATAAATTCAAATGATTTTTTTATTACGATCATGGCTATATTATCAGAACCAGCTGTTTTCCCTGACTTAAGGGATTGACAGATACTAGATAGTTCAGTAACATTGGTGGGGCTTATGAACATAGTTTCGCTTATACGATCAGTTAAGAACGAGTTGGATGGTGTATCCACTGTTGGTATTTGCCTCGCCAAATTAGGACCAACATTGGTGAAGTAATCACAAAACCGATTTGCAATTTCAACTGGATCTGTTAATATTTTATTAGCGTAATTAAATGTGGTGGGTAAAGTGGTCTTTCTTTTTGATTTATTAATTACTTCATTAATTAGGTTCCAAGTCTCTTTTAAGTTGTTTTTTGCTAATTCAAATCGTTCGTCATAATAATGCCGTTTAGAAATTCTGATAAGATGATTTAGCTTATTTCTATAAGTTTTGTACTGAGATTCTCGAGCAGGATTTGGCGAATTAAGTAGTTTTCCGTATAGTTTTTTCCTTTTCTTAATAGAAACTAACAAACTTTTGGTAATCCATGGGGAAAGTGAAGCATTTTTATATCCAATGCTCTTTGTTTCTAAAGGAAAGCATTTTTCGTAAAATAGAGAGTATTTAGAATGGAATGTATTATACGCATCATTAGGATTTTGGACACTTAAAATGTCTGACCAATTAACTTCCGAAAGGCAAGTTCGAAAGCAATTTATATTCGCTTCATTAAAGTTCCTAGTCGGTTTATATTGCTGTTTTTTCAGCGCAACAGTATCATCAAATAAATAACTCAAAATAGGTAAGTGATCTGATATATCATTGATTAGGATACTATTTAAAACTTTGTCTGAGAGGTTGTTTGTGAATATGTTATCGATTAAGGTAGCTGAGTGAGCAGTTATCCGTGTCGGCTTATTTATTAGAGGTACAAACATGTGCGAAAACAAGTTTTCGATAAATTCTTGGGTTGGAGTGTGATCATTACAACGTAATAAGTCTAAATTAAAGTCTCCTGTGACATAGCAAAGTTTATTGTTTTTTGAGATTACTGACAATAAAGTACAAAATTTATCCATGAAAGACGCATGGTTATGGTTTGGGGGGCGGTAGACTGAACCTACTATTATGTTTTTCCCACGTGGGTTGCTAATTTCAGCAAATAAGGATTCTATAGAATCTGAGTCGGAGTAATTACAATCGGAACGAATTTTATATTCAAGAGAACTTAACAAATGTAGACCCGTTCCGCCGCCGGATTTATCAGTACGATGGTTTGAATGGAAATTATACCCTGGAATATTTACTTGATCAATAGTTAAGTCGTTAAGCCATGTCTCAGTAATGGCAATAACAGAGGGCAGAGTGTGGAGACATGCCAGCATTGTCCTAAGTTTATCAATATTTGCAAGTAAACTTCGTGAATTTATATGTAAAATAGAAAACTTTGGTCCTGATTTTTCAGCAGAAATCTTTAGATTAACTTCCCCTTCTCCACTGTAATTACTAGGTAGAGAACTAAGAGGGAAATTAATATCTGGGTCAAGATAACTAGGAGATAAATTATGCCCAATCTGGTTAATAGGATCATAAATAAGAGAGTCTAAACTGTCATTATCATAGTTAAGTGAACCGTAAGTTAATTCATACATAGCTAAGTTAAACGAAGCTTCGTTCAGATGGCAAAAAGGAAGGTCAAGAACAAATTCATCATTTAGCGACATTGGAAAAAATTAAAGAAGGTAAATTATTCCAACTTAGCTTGCAAATCACCCTCAATGAGCAGCAAGATCTTCAAGGTCACTCAATTTTGTTATCTCAACTGCGCGAGAGTCATCGTGCTTTCGTAAGAAGATTTTTGAATTTTTTACCCAACAGAATTTGTATGCTTGTTGCTGTTGAATTTTTTTTGCTTCAAATAAGAGTTTCTGTAAACTTGGGGTAAGATGATCAAACACTCTGGCTTCTGATAGCTGAACATCGGGCGCTAAACCAACGGTATTCGGGTTAACTTTGTTGATATTTCGTCGGCAATTAATGACTTGATCTTTAACGATTCGTCTGGAGAATTTACAAATGATAGGTTTGTCCCTCAAGGCCTTTCTGCCTGGAACACGATGGGCTATGTCAATGTCTTCCAACGTAATGCCGGCAACACCCATTTCTTTAAACAGCTGGACACATAGCTTAGAAGTTTCCAACGACGACTCCATTGTTTTAAGTTGTGGAATACCAACAAGCTTCACATTATATTGATAGCTATAGCATTCTAGACTATCTATATCATTAGTCAATCCATCGACTTTTGAGTCTTTTATCTAAACAATCGAGCCCAGTTTTTGCTGTTTTTCGAAAGTTTGATAGATCATCGTAGCTGCTACTAAGAAACTCGAGACTTTTTACGGTTTCGTTGTCTGGTCGAGTTGGACGATCGCCATTTGGCATTTTTAATTGAGTAATCTGCCGTTCAATTGAAGCTTCCAAATTCTTGAGATGGCTTTTTAGTGAGCTTACTTCCAATTTTAGGTCATTGTTTTCTTTCTTCAAAGATTTATTCGTATCAGGCATAATAATTTAACAAAACCTGGCTAAAACCTAGGTAATTAGAGCTCAAAATATTTCACAAGATCGGAGCAGCAAAACACACGTCCGCTCAGTGTCAGTGTTAGCTCTTGACTAAGGTTCTCGAATGCAGTTTGCCTGAAGTAGTATTCAGCTATGTTGAAGGTGGTGTCTATGAGAAGTGGCAACTGATATTCAGCATCAATTTGCGAGCAAAATTGGACTACGTCTGCATCGGTATAAGCCACAATGGCAGGTTGATGACCGTGCTGCTGTAATGTTTCGCAAATAAAAGGCTGATTATTGTCGAGAACAGAGCAGTCAGATTATCGCTACTCTGGTTTTAGTAAATGAAAGTAATCACCACACAAAGATTAACTTTCACGACCCAACGTTTCGACACTCCGGTCTAGTGTCTTCATCAGGGGTGATCTGATGTTGAAACTCGGTTCCTTATATACTCTCAAAATGACGTCATCTATTAATCAGATGTAAATACTCTTTTGGCAAATAGCTTCCGTCATCCCTATTAAGGGCACAAAGACTCGCATTAATATGCCAGGCTCCCAAACAACGCCTTTGTCCATAACGATCATTAGTGGTAATGACTTTTGAATCGTTCCACCCAATGTTATGGTTAGTTTGACACACTTGTTCCGCCAAGGCTGATTTTGAACTGTCTAAGTTCGATACGGCCTTTTGATGTTCTTTTAAACGTGTGCCGAACTGGCGTTTTGTTTGACCTAGATATTCTTTCTCGCAATCACCACATGGTATAGAGTATACAGCATGAGTTTTCTGTTTAGTCGCTACGCGATCCTTGGGTTTCGCGAAAATATGTCCCAATGTCTGAAAGGGTTTTAAGGCAACTTTTATACCACAATTATTCAGGATCCTCCTGATTGGTTCTGCAATTCCCTGAATGTATGGAACTATAGCAAAACCTGTTTTTGAGGAATCACCCTCTGAGGAATTGCATCTAGTCGAGACAGGGGATTTTAGACAATCATTTAAAAAGTTTCGAGGATAGTTGTTCTCTCTCAGTACACTGAGGACATAATCACGCTCGTTGTCCCTAGCAACGCGATTGGATGGTAACGATTCAGCTCTTTGAAACAAAGTTTTTGCAACAGACTTTTTATGACTTTTTGGATGGTGTGAGTAGAAGGATAGATATTTGTCCGTATGTGTAGGTTTACGGTAAACGTCAGTTTCTAACTGCCCTTCGATATTTCTATGAACATAAGTATCCAAAAAAGCCAACTTTCCCTCACTCTCGCGCTCTACAGTGAATTGAATTGATGGCTCAATAGAATTCAAATGTTTCAACAAATTATCGATCTCATTTTTGTTAACCGCAGAGGCCACATCGTCAACATATCGTTTCCAAAACAAAGGTTTGACCGGACTAGAGGCTAAAGCTCCTTGCTCGACATCTTCCATTACTAGGTTAGCAATTACTGCCGAGACCGGGGATCCCATCGCTGTCCCAAAAACCTGCTGGTAATAGTTGCCTTCGAAAGTAAAATAAGTCGTATTGAGACAAAAGGATAAAAGATCGATTATATCCTCCACAGGTAACGATGTTCTTTGTGATAAAGAAACATCTTCTGTGAGTCTTTTTTCAGCAACTTTGATGGCAAGATTGACAGGGATTTTGGTAAACAAGGAAACGACATCAAACGATACGAGCACTTGGTCTGAGTTTAGAGTTTCACCTCTAATAAATTCCGCGAAATGAGTGGAGTTTTTTACTGTGTAGACAGTATTCCCAACAGTAGGAGACAATATTCTAGCCAAATACCTCGAAAGATTGTAAGTGGGGGAATTGACAAAAGACACGATAGGTCTCAAAGGTATTCCCGACTTATGAATCTTCGGCAAGCCATAGAATCGCGGAGATAAACGATCGCTACTACGCAACAATTTATAAGTGACCTCGCTGATTTTGTTAGCTTTCTTAAAGAGTAATAGGCGTTTGTTCAATTCTCTTTCAGTCTTACCAGTTGGGTCAGACTTAAGGACACTATAGGTGTTTTTGTCATTGAGCAATACACTCGCTTTCTCGCGATAGTTTTCTCTGTCCATTACAACAACACAATTGCCTTTATCTGCTGAGAGCACAACCCTGTCCGGATCTTTCTTTAAAGAAAGCAAAGCTTTAAATACGGTTAACAAAAATGCGATCGATAATTTGTTGAAACATTTGAATTCTATTGAGCCATCAATTCAATTCACTGTAGAGCGCGAGAGTGAGGGAAAGTTGGCTTTTTTGGATACTTATGTTCATAGAAATATCGAAGGGCAGTTAGAAACTGACGTTTACCGTAAACCTACACATACGGACAAATATCTATCCTTCTACTCACACCATCCAAAAAGTCATAAAAAGTCTGTTGCAAAAACTTTGTTTCAAAGAGCTGAATCGTTACCATCCAATCGCGTTGCTAGGGACAACGAGCGTGATTATGTCCTCAGTGTACTGAGAGAGAACAACTATCCTCGAAACTTTTTAAATGATTGTCTAAAATCCCCTGTCTCGACTAGATGCAATTCCTCAGAGGGTGATTCCTCAAAAACAGGTTTTGCTATAGTTCCATACATTCAGGGAATTGCAGAACCAATCAGGAGGATCCTGAATAATTGTGGTATAAAAGTTGCCTTAAAACCCTTTCAGACATTGGGACATATTTTCGCGAAACCCAAGGATCGCGTAGCGACTAAACAGAAAACTCATGCTGTATACTCTATACCATGTGGTGATTGCGAGAAAGAATATCTAGGTCAAACAAAACGCCAGTTCGGCACACGTTTAAAAGAACATCAAAAGGCCGTATCGAACTTAGACAGTTCAAAATCAGCCTTGGCGGAACACGTGTGTCAAACTAACCATAACATTGGGTGGAACGATTCAAAAGTCATTACCACTAATGATCGTTATGGACAAAGGCGTTGTTTGGAAGCCTGGCATATTAATGCGAGTCTTTGTGCCCTTAATAGGGATGACGGAAGCTATTTGCCAAAAGAGTATTTACATCTGATTAATAGATGACGTCATTTTGAGAGTATATAAGGAACCGAGTTTCAACATCAGATCACCCCTGATGAAGACACTAGACCGGAGTGTCGAAACGTTGGGTCGTGAAAGTTAATCTTTGTGTGGTGATTACTTTCATTTACTAAAACCAGAGTAGCGATAATTACGATGGATTATATACCTGGTTGCCGTGAACTCATAAACTTCAAGAGCAGTCAGAGTCTTGGTATTGTTCTAAAAGCATCAATATTATGTCGCTCAAATCATTGTGATTTCGTCTTGACTGCTGTCCATAATTATTTCGATAATTGGACTCTTGCTTAGTGTTTCGTACTTGTGTTGAACCTGTTGTGTATTCAATAAGGGAGATGTCAGCCTCTCCAATGGACTTCTGCTAAAAAGCGAGGTGCTTTCTGGCTTTTCTCGACTGTCTCTCTACACTCAATCTTTACAGAATGTTGCGTTGGTCTAAACAGTTGCGCCTCTGCCTTTTTAGAATTTCCATGACTTGCGGGAACAATTGGTATTGGTACTTCTTCCCTACTGAAAGAGTAGTGGAGAATAATGGTATTTAGTACTAGCTTGTACTCTTTAATGCTCTTGAGACTGCCGTGGATTGTGTTACATTCGTCAACTGGCATAGCAAACGTAATGTTTCGAATGAACGCACTTCCATAATGTGACAGCATCGCTTGGTGTGCTCCTTGCTTTCGAAAAACAGCATAAAGGTGTTTCTTATTTGCCACCTTTGCCTTCCAGCCTTCATTGGTGTGGCGGTTGTACGTTCCACCAGTTACTTGTCCACTTCGGTTCTTGCTCACATGAACTTTGGATGACAAAATGAGTCACTCTCTTCCTTTGGGTTTGCTTCATAAAATCTCACTTTGCGGTGTTTCGTGAAAACTCCTGCCGTATCATCAGCCTCGAGGTCGTAGGGGTGTGTGAGATTGGTCTTGTTTGATAATGAAGGTGGACGTATGCTAGATTCGCAAAGGCTTTTCCTTTACAAACTTTTCCTCTGAAACTTCTCCCAGTAAACAAATTTTGAAAATCTTTTCAATGTCAGGATTTGTCTTGCTATAAAGGGGGAGATATTTGCTGTTCATATAATACAGCTCCTCCGGTTTGGTTTTGATTGGTGATACATTGCCGTTTTCTAAGTCACCAAGGTCAGCTTGCTTTTGGCCATCGAAATCATATGGCTGCTCATCCAGGCATAGATGCTCGACTATAATGTTTGATTGTTCATTACTAAAAGAAAGACACTTTCTTGTCGACCCTCGTTTCTCTGTAATTTGGCAGTCGTCTTCCTCGTGTTTCAGAGTTATCAGAAGTGTAAAAAAAGGACTAAAAGACTAACCCGCAAGGACTAGAATGAGCCTTGATCCTCAAATTTAAGTGTCGTTATTTACTATATTAAGTACGAAAAAAGCATATTAGAGAACAATAGAGCTTTCTTATTAATAATGCAGAGCAGAAAAGAGTTGTGTTGGTGTGCTAATTGCTAATATAAAGAAGTATGGCAAACTTATCTTCAAAATTTATTTTCCCAAATAAATTACTAAATGTAGTTATAAAATCAATTTTATATGTACAGCCATACTAACTTTCCAGACGAAGGCTCTCAAGGCTGTTAAAACGTGGAGAAGTGTTTTTGTCTTTTAAAACTGATCACAGGAAAATATATCAATTTTATCCTACCAGAGGTGATACTATATTTCCAAAAGTTCATATTAATTAATAATATGTAAATATATTATTCTCAATTTGGTTAGCATTAGAATTTGAATACCATGGTTTGCATAGCACTAACAAGCGGAATTTCGTTTTAGCCAATCAGCGAGTTTGTTTACATTTTCGGTAACCCAATCAGAATGCATAAATTTTGACTTCCGGTAAAAAGGTACATTACATTTAGCATTTTACATAAAGTATTATTATATACCACTTGTGAAAGTTTGGTGTTCGT